GCCGCCCTCCCGGAGATAGAAACCGAGCAGCGGCTACGAAGTGGTTATAAAGCCTCCGCCCCGCGCGCCGCGACACACTGCGCAGGCGCCTGTCTCCGACACCTCACAACCCGCGTAGCCCTGGCGAGGGGCGCTGGGCGGGGCCGAGCGGGCGGGACCGGGGGACCCGGGCAGAGCCCCGCCTCCTGCGGGTCAGGTGGTTCCAGCGCAGCCATATTGTAGAGGTTCGGGGTGAGACCAGCAAATTGCTGTTCCGCGCCTCCACCCGGAGTTCCATCACCCGTACCCCCATCACCCCAAGGGGGACTTGGCGGCGCGCCATTACTTACAGATAGCCTGATTGTCCCTCCCACTAAAATGAGACTCCACTTAACTCATCTGTTAAAAATAGACAGGGGTTGATGAGATGGTGAGTCCCAACTGGTCCACCTTCCAACATTTCTGTTGATACTCGATATTAAGCAAGCAGCATTAATTACCAGAGAATGTATGCATTCATTGAGCATGTACAAAGTGCAAGACAGTACTGGATAAGATAGACAGGGTCCACTATCTGCAAGGGATCTGCCGAATAAAGTCAGAATTTCTTAATCTAGCATTCAGTGCTGTCTGAACTGATGAACTATATTCCTTGAACCACCTACCTTTCTGTCTTCCTGATAGCTTGGTTACTTTGCCATTTGTGGAAGGAGGTCCAACAATTTCTTGTGTGGAAGTGCTTACCCCAACTCCTCTGACGGGACCCTTAGGCTTCCTAATGGGAGACAATGTCAATTGTGATAAAAATGCATCAGGATTAGATTTTTAGTTGCAAATAACAGAAGAAAAAAATGACTTATAGAAATTTCTTTCTCTTTTTATGAAAAATAAGTCCAGAATTAGCCAGTCGAAGGTTGCTTAGCCATCCTGATCATTTGGTGAACAATTTTAAGATAACCTCATTATGGTCCACATCCCAAGCAGAGGGAAGGAAAATGAGCAGACAGGTGTGTCTTTTTCCTTTTAAAGAAGACTGCCTAGCAAATCCTGCACATTTTTGCTTAAATTTCATTGGCCAAAACATAATTACATGGCCATGCTTAGCTGCCAGGGGACTGGAAAATGTAGGGGCTTTTTAAATTGGGTACAATGTGTCCAGCTAAAAATAGTGCTGTGTTCTTTTGTTTGTTTCTTTCTTTCTTTGACACTGAGGATGAAACCCAGGGGTGCTCTATCACTGAACTACCTCCCCAACCCTTTTCATATTTTATTGTATTTAATTATTTATATTTATGGACTTTTAAAAATTTTTAGTTGTATATGAACACCATAACTTTAATTTATTTTTATGGGGTGCTGAGGACCAAACCAAGTGCTTCACATGTGTTGGGTAAGTGCTCTACCACTGAGCTACAAAAACTCAGCCCTTATGTTTTATTTTGAGACAGGGTTTTGCTAAGTTGCTAGGGTCTCACCAGTTGTTGAGAATAACCTCTGATTTGCTATCCTTCTGCCTCAGCCTCCCAAGTTTTTGGGATTACAGGTTTGTGCCACTATGCTGGGCTAGTGCTCTGTTATTAATAAACAATGTAGAATAAGAGCTGGAGGTAGAACTCTGTGGTTAAGTGCTTGCCTAGTGCAGCCTGGGTTTGAGCCTCAGCAGGAGCACGTGCGCACACACAAGGCATAATGAATACTAGAACATATCTAGCTGTCTTTTTCAAGGACAGTATTTAAAACCAGGTCCCCAGATCTCCAAACTTTTGAGGTAGCAACAAGAAAAGAAGAAGAAGAAGAAAAAAATCCTGAAAATCAGGGGCCAGTGACCTAAGAGGAAAACCAAGCAAGGATGATGTCACAGATGCTAAGATAAATTGTTTCCAGGAGGGAGTGGTCAATTGTGACAAATGCTGCTGAGAAGTCAAGAAAAGATAAGAATAGAGAAGTGATCATTGGATTTGGCAATACCAAAGAGTCCTGTATAGGAATGGGTGGGTATCCTTAAGTAGGAAGCAAGTTTGATGCTAGATGATTAAAATAATTAATGTCTATATTTGGTCAGAATAGGTTAGAGTCTGCTGTAGTTACAAACTACCCAAATATCTTAATGGCTTAACCAACAAAGGTTTATTTTTCCTCTCTTGTAAAGCCTGCTAAAATCAGGGCACTCTTCTCAATAGTTCTCCTTCATTCCACTGGTACATTCAGAAAGTGAGGTCACCTCCGTCCTGGCTCTACCATATCAGCACAGGACTTTCAGGATTGCCTCAATAACACAAAGAGAGCTAGAGGGTTGTGCACCAGCAATGAAATACTTCAACTTCAAGATATACATTACTTTAGCTCACAGACCATTAACCAGAACTTGTCACATGGATACAATCTAACTGTAGGGGTTGGGGCTGGGACATGTAGGGGGAAAGCATAGGCTATTTAGTAAGCAGTTTATCTCTGCCACAGTTCGCTAGAGTCATCTTTTCTTCCTAGTACAGGAGTGCTTTTCCACTGGGTTACAATCTCAGTCCTTTTGATGGTTTGAGACAGGGTCTCATTAAGTTGACCTCAAACTTTAAATCCTCCTGCCTCAGCCTCCCAAGTTGCTGGGATTACAGGTATGTGCCACTATGCCCAGCTCACCAGAGTCATCTTTGACCATTCCCAGTGACCAATGTCCGGGTTAGTTGCAAAGCTCCTTAGTGGGAGAGAGGGCTGTCTTGTTTCTCTGTCAGATTTTGCTGAAGGAGATGGGGACCTCCTATTCCAGCCAGACCCAGATGCATTTTAGAACTTCTCCCTGTGCAGCTGACAAATAGCTGTCCGAAACTCAACTTGCTGAAAAGCTCAGCACCCCCAATATTTGTTTGACTTGACATTGGCTCCCAAAGTCTACCTCAGTTCAAAGCTGTTACTAACCATGTTCTGGCAGAAAGTTGACCTCGGGGGCTGGGGATGTGGTTCAGTGGTAAAGCATTTGGGTTTGATCCCCTATAGAAGGGAAACAAAAAAGAGAGGGGGTAGGAGAGAACCGACCTCTCATAAATGCCAGTGGTCTTTGTAATAGCTCCAGTTCTACTGGATTTCTTCCTTCCTGAATCATAGAAAGAAACAAAAGTAATTCCTCCCACTTTTTTTTCCCCCAGTCTTTCCTTGATAGGAATTGAGTGGCTCAGAGAAATGACACTAGGGAGAAAAGAATTCTTACTAATCTAGTAAACATACATTACACTTACTACATACAAAGTCCTCTGTCAGGCAGTAGGAGACACGTGGTTTTATGGAGGTTACGGGCAAAAAAGTAGATTGCTAGGATACTTAGAAGGACATGTACAAAAACCCAACAGACCAATGGAGGACATGGCAAGCACTGCTCAGGGTGGTTAGGGATGGCTATCCTGCAGAAAAGACCGCTGAGTTGGGTCTGAAAGGACGAGTAAGAGTTGACAATTGGTCACCGTTCCCAGTGACCAATGTCCAGATTGTAAAAATTGAAAAAGATATTTAAAACAGGAAGCCAGGAGGAAAAGTTTAGAGGGAAGGCAAAGGCAGGATCAGTCTGAGGAAGTGTGAGCAGCAGGGTGAGACAGGAGGTCAGAATGTCTGAAAGGATGTAACAGAGTCAAGTGAGAATCAAGTCTCTGTGTTATGGCTCCCTTGGATGCAAGGAAGAGAAGCCAGGCATGAACAAACCTAGTCCCAAAGAATGACTTTTGACTCATGAACTGGTGGTACTACAGCAACTGGGCCCATGGACCAGCTGCATCCCAGAAACCAACCAGTTCTTGTACCTTCTCATTCATCTTTGCTTCTTTTGCAAGTCAGCTTCTTTTTTTAAAAAAATCATCATCATCAGTGTTGTTATCATTGTGGTGGTGGTGGTAAAACTATATATGACATAAAATCCACCATTTTAACCAAGTTTTTTTCAGTGGTAGGGATCAAACCCAAGGCCTTATGCATGCTAGGCAAGCTCCCTACCACAGAGCTGCAGTCCCAGCCACCTTTTTAACCAATTTTAAAGGCGCAGTTCATTAAATGACATTCAGTACGTTTAATATTGTTCTGCAACCATCATCACCATCTAGTTCCAGAACTTTTTCATCTTCCCAAACTGGAACTCTCTTATTAAGAACTCTCTCTTCTCCCCACTTCCTATTTGTAGACCACTTTTCTCTCCTAACTGGAACTGAGCTGTGCTCTCAAAAGAAGAGAGAGGTCAGGTGTTGTGGCACATGCCTGTAATCCCAGCCACTCAGGACTATGGCAGAAAGATCACGAGCTCACACCAGTTCAAAGCCAGCCTCAGCAAAAGTGAGGCGCTAAGCAACTCGATGAGACTCTGTCTCTAAATAAAATGCCAAAAAGAAAAAGGCTGGGCTGGGGATGTGCCTCAGTGGTTAAGTGCCCTGAGTGCAGTCCTTGGTAGAGAGAGAGAGAGAGAGAGAGAGAAAGGGAACACTAAGCAGATGAAATAAGAAATGATCACCAAAGATCAATTAGAGTCAGGTCACCAGGAGCCTTTTGAATTTTATTTTGTGAGGGAGTGGGGCATTGTGGCAACATCTTG